ATAGCTGATCGCAACACCATAAGAAACAAATACGTAAATATAGTGTTTCAGGAAACAATGGCCAAAATTAAAGATGCAATCAGCAACAACAACATTTACATTGTTGTAGATGAAACAACAGATACTTGTAGACGATATATTGCCAATTTATTAATCGGTATTTTAAATAAAAATTACGCCGGAAAATCGTATTTAATTGGTGCACAAGAATTAGACAAAACAAATAATGTAATTATCTCAAGATTTGTAAACGATTGTTTAACAAGGTTTTATCTACCAAATGCTGTTCCAAGTGAGAACGTGTTACTGATATTGTCAGACGCTGCGGCGTATATGGTAAAGTCAGCACAAAATTTGAAGATTTTTTACAGTAATTTGATCCACGTTACATGTTTGGCCCATGGAATTAACAGAATAGCGGAAGAAATACGCAATGAATTTCTTGATATTAATAGAATGGTCAATAAGACGAAAAAAGTATTTATCAAAGCACCGCTACGAGTCCAACATTATAAAGATAAACTCCCTGGGCTGTTCCTTCCACCACAACCCGTAATTACAAGATGGGGTACGTGGCTTGATGCGACTTTATTTTATGCGGAGAACTTCGAAACGATAAAAGAAATAGTGTGTTCTTTTTTTGATGATTCGGCAGTAATTACAGATTGCAAAAATATATTAAATAAAGCGCAACTACCTCAAGAGTTAGCTTTTATTAAAGCAAATTATGGTTTTATCAGCGAATTGCTAACGAAACTAGAAACTCGAGGCATGGAACTCTCTGAATCTATAGAATTGATTCAAAGCTTCAAAAACAGAATCAACAACGTCAAAGGTACAATAGGACAACGGATTAAAACTAAATTAGGAGAAGTTTTAAGAAAAAATAAAGGGTTTACTCAGTTTACTAAAATATCCAATGTATTGCAAGGAAACCATGAGGAAAGTATTCAAATGAGTCCCTCAATTATCTGCAAATTTAAGTATGCGCCAATTACATCTGTTGATGTAGAAAGAAGTTTTTCGGCCTATAAGCAGATATTGTCGGATCGCAGGCAATCTTTCTTGGTTGAGAATTTGGAAAAGCATCTTATTATTATTATTTACAATTCTGTGAAAAATTAAATATTCAAAATCTAGTTTTGTATTCAAATAATTTCGTTTTGTGTTAATACTATTTTATATATTTTTTGCTTAAAGTTAATTTATTTGTTTATTCTATTATATTTTTGCAATTATTTCTTTCTGTGCTTTTCATTTAATAAATGTATACATTACATATTTTTTGCATCTTATGCAAACATCTCATTGTTAGTATTTACAATTCTGTAAGAAATTAAATATTCTAGATTTAGTTTTATATTCAAATAAGTTCGTTTTGTGTTAATACTATTTTATGTATTTTTTTCCTTTTTTTATTTGTTTATTTTATTATATTTTCGCAATTCTTCCTTTCTGTGCTTTTCATTTAATAAATATTATATATTGTATATATTGTTTATTTGTATATATTGTATATTTTTGCAAATTTTTGCATTATTTCCTAATATTTCTGCATATTTTTACCAAATTTTGTGCATATATTCTTGTTTTTGCGTGCATATAATTCCCAGCTTTAATTATGTGTATACAGGATGTTTCGGGAGAAAAGAGAAATATTTTGAGGATGTGTTCAGAAGATCAAAACAAGAAAAATAAATTAATATGTTTAGGTCCGATTCTAAACAAAAAAAAAGAAATAGATAAAATAAATAATAAATAAATAAAAAAAAATAAAAAAATAAAAAAAATAATTAATAAATTTTGTTATCTGTTCAGTAATAAATTTTGTGCAATTTTTTAATTTTAAATTATTAAATAGCAAAATCAATTTTAAAACTTAACATTTAATTATCTCCGTGAACGCTGAGAATCGAACTTAAGAGGATGCTGGAGTGATTTGTTTTACCAGTCAGATATTATATTTTTTTGCACAAAAATATCTTTTTATTGCTGCATAGAATTGTAAATCCTTTTGCAGGATTAAAGTGTACACAAAAACGGAATTCAGAGTGCTTGACTTTATTCGGAAAAAAAATTAATTTTCATTCATTAATTTCTATTCTGCTCATAGGATAACATATTGTATAGAGCTATCTATTTTCATTTTTTATAAAAGTTCAGTCACTTTAAGACGCTGAATAAGTGCAGCCCGAATTGCGAATTGCAGAATAGAATGTTATGGAACCATTAAAATTGGGCTGAAAAGTCTAATGTAAAAGATATTTCTGTCCGACAATTTTTATATATGTGTGCGCCCAATATCGGTATAACAGACGAAAAAACAGCAATAAATTAGATTCCGGATAATATCAGAGAGACGCCATATAACACACATACACGATGTGTGCGTATGAGCCGCGTTTGCCGTCTAACCTGTTGTAACGTTGACACTTTCCGTATCTGTCAAAAAAACCGAAAAATAATAATACGGTTAATAGCACGTAAAATACCCTCATAAAAAAAAGACACTTTTCGTAGTACTCTTTTTTTCTTATACAGTGTACGTGTCTTTTGCACATGTGTTTCTATATGTGTAACGGTGCAGCCCGCAAGCTGCATCGTTACGGCTACGGACCGACCATCGTCCGTAGCCCACCAAGGCAATGCTGCCAGAAACGAGCGGCGGCATCACACTAATACAACCGAGAACCGATGACATCACCCTATCCGTGTGAGCTCGACCCGGTCGACCAATGGAAGAGAACGCCGTCTCCCTTCCACCGAGCCGACGCAACAGACGATAAATGCTAAGAAGTAAGTGTTTCTAAGGCATGTGGCTGGAATATGAAAAATCCCGTGTTCGAGATTTGCTTCTCGCTAACTTTCTTTTCTTTTTTCCGCATTTGTTTCTAACAGTGTAAATTATCAAATAATCTTTTTTTTGACTTAAAAAATAATAGTTTATATTTATTAATAATATTCGCATATGTTAAAACTAACAATTTTTGAAATAATTCAGATTTGCTATTGTCAATAGAAAAATGAAGTTATTTTGCAATATTGCAACAAAGTGTAAATTTAACATATACTATGTTCTTGCCATTCGCCTTATTCGTTTAGCCATGCTTGCTTTGGCATTTATGTCTATCGACTCGAAAGATTTTACATACCTGTAAAACTTTTAATTATTTCCCAACTTACAATTAGTCACTCGCGTCCTGATATTTTTCTCCCGTTCAATAATTTTCTATTCGTACATTCGGAGAATCCAAATAGTGAGATCAATAATGTACTTAATTTTCGTACACTCTAGTATCTCAATCTGAGATCGGTGTACATTTTAACGTGTTAAATGTAGACGAATTATTTCTATATAAAAGATAATTAAAATTTTCACACCAACAATCTATGATATACGCTCCATATGCCATATTATATTTTATTCCATTTTTAATCATTTATTTTAAACTACTGCATATTAGCAAAAGTTACTGTACTATGGAGATGAGTGGAGGAGACGGTAACATATATTATAAATGCAGTCAGATTTATTGTACTCTTGTTAAAATATTGTAAAAATAATGTATTATTAGTAATTATAATAGTATTTATTAGTAATTATAATAGTATTATTAATAGTGGTCTTCCGCACCACCTTCGAGGTTCCACTAACGGCGCGTTAGGTTTTTTTAGTGGACCTTCGCCAGGAGCCCTATTATACCACATTTCATTAATCTTTCTATATATTTCTTTTATACATATGTGATGTCATTTGCAGACAAAATACTTTTTTTACACTTGTCATTTACAAGTGCGGTGTCATTTGCAGACAAGATACTCTTTTTACTCTTGTCATTTACAAGTGCGGTTTCATTTGCAGACAAGATACTCTTTTTACTCTTGTCATTTACAAGTGTGGTGTCATTAGCAGACAAGATACTCTTTTTACTCTTGTCATTTACAAGTGTAGTGTCATTTGCAGATATACCAAATTTTAACAATTTCAACAAAATTTGGCAAAATTACGACGATTTATATCTTAAAATCTTATTGAATTTGGGAATAAAAATTTTTCAATTTTTTATTTTTATTATTAAAAATAAGCATCGAACAAAAAAACTGCAAATAGAAAAAAGTTTCGTCTCATCATTCTCTACAAGCCTATGTTTAAAAAAAATTAATTTTGCGACTTTCAAAATTTTCATGCTTCGAGACGTTTAGACGATATTTTTACACGATTTCGAGCGCAGAGCGATTTCGTTGATCCGCGTCCTCAATTGTGTTTATAAGTCGCGTACAAACAGAGATCAGACTAGTTCCTTCGGTTCCTTATCAGTTAATACACTTGACGGAAAAGTCGATTTGAAGAATATTGCGAAATATGGATACGTAAATAGAAAATTAAATTATTATTAAAATCATCATAAGAGATATAAATTATTATTATTTATTAATTAAAAATAAATTTTTAATTAAATAATATGGAAAACGGCATAAGAGTGATGATTAGATTGATTATGACTAGAATTATGTGTTAAGAATTAGGAATAATTAATACATTTCGTTATCTTATTTCAAATAAAATAATTCCAATTTGATTTTCCTAATATTTAATATTTATTCCTATTCCTAATATTTTCTCTATTCTACGTAGAGAATCTTTATTATAATATAACGTTACTCCAATAATCGCTAATCTCAATCTATTGTTTCTATGTTGCAAGTTTCTCAAGTAGCATAGCTTTTTAAAAAAATTTACATTAAATCTTGCTTAAAGATTAAAATTTTTAATTTTATGTATTTTGAATATTAAAATTGCTGATTCTTTTAATTTTATGTATATTGAGAATGGTCGAATAGTCAACTGTTTATATTCTTAAAGACAATTTTGTAAATATAAGAAAGGTTAACACATATTATTTAGCTGTAGCTCATAATTCTTCTACCGTTTTTCATGTTATTTATTTTGTTAGCAAAATGTTTAATCTTTAGTTTCTTTCTCCTCTCTTATACATATATAACAGTTTTTATTTTTTTAAACTCATAAATGTATTACTAATTTAATAAATATATATTAATTTTTGCAGAGGACATGACACAAAGAGTGGAAAGTATGACGCTGGAGGAGAAAGATGCTGCTGTACAACAGTTGATGCAACAAATGTTGCATCAACAAGAAAAATTGGTACAAATGCAGCAGCAGCTGCATTTGTTAATAAGTAGTGGTGCAACAACGCAGCAGCAGCAGCAGCAAAATACAAACACAGAAAATATCCAAGAGCAGCAGCAGCCGGAGGAACAAACAAGAGGTACATTATTTTTTTTTTAATTTTTTGTAACTAAATGATTAATTTATATGCATGATTGTTTTATTTAATATAGTACTTATCTGTAAATGTGCTTATTTTTTAGAAAAAAGGAGAGGAGGCGGAAAGTCTCGCGCTCGCTGGTATCACCAGCGAGGTGGAAGAAGTGAATGGGGAGGCAGAGGTGGATGGGGAGGCAGAGGTGGATGGGGAGGCAGAGGTGGATGGAGCGGCAGAGGTGGATGGGGTGGCAGAGATGGGTGGGGACCGAGAGGTGGCCAGGGCGGAAGAGGCCATATCATAATAAAAAAATATTATATAAATTAAAAAATATTAGATAAATATAAAAATAATTTTATATATTAATTTCATATTAATATTAATTTTATTTTTTTAACAAACTTTTATTTTTTAATATTTTTTTTGTATTTTTTATTTATATTTTTATTATTTTTTAACTTATTTACTTATACAATATACTTATATTTTTATTTTTTAATATCTTTTCTATTTTTTATTTATATTTTATTTTTTAACTTATATTACTTATACAATATACTTATATTTT